CATATAAAGATATTTCTATCTTTGAATCCTTCGTTTCATTTAGTACGAATTCAACCGTCCAAATGGACTTCCCCTGAATTAACCCAATTCATTAAGCCGGACCAATTATAGATTACTCTTACCCCTTGTAGTTAGTTACCTTTAATATTTCGATCCATATATTTTAAAAATTTATATTGACATTCTTATAGTTATTAAAATGAAACATCTAGGTCCATTTACCCTAACGTTGTTGGATTTCTAACGAAAACATAAAAATAAAGGGTAAAAATATAATTTTAATGTTTCAGTTGGTGAAAGCGAACAACGTCGATGGTGACGGACGACAACACCACTAAGAGGTCGCGGGTAACTGTTATGGATGATGAGAGCGACAACAAAAGTTGAGGGTCGCTTGTTATTTGCATCAGTGCCAATGCAGATGTAGAGCGATGCCGTTCGATAACTACGTTGGCGTTGACGTAGATACAGATCGACTCTCACATCTCGTCGTCGTTCTCCTTATTCACAACAATCACCTGTTGCTCAAGCGACATCATCGTTAACCACCACCGACATCATTTGCCACCATCAACTAGAACATTAAAATTATCTTTTTACTTTTTATTTTTATATTTCTATTAGTAAAACCGACGTCATTAAGATAAATTGATCTAAATGTTTCATTTTAATAATTATAGAGATACCAATGTAATATTTTAAAATGTAAAGATCGAAATACTAAAGGTAACTAATTACATAAGGTGATTAGACCATTCTTAAAAGCCTATCTCGTACGTACCCCAACAGAAATAAAAAAAATATTTTTTATTCCATCATACCAAAAACTAATATCCATGAGAGCCAAAAACAAACCATTGGACTCGATTATATAATACTATATCACCTCGACGTTATTCCAGGCTTTGTAATCCGTAGTCAACACCGTTCAAGCCTTGCTTGCCCCCATGAATAAGTGTACTATTAATCCCATCCCCTCGAGTCATAATCATGATAGGAAAAGACGTTACGACTCTCCATCGTTTACTTCGTTATTGACTTCCAACCAATAGAAATTATTTCCAAAGTCCATTCAAAGTGACATCTTTCTAAAAACTTTTTTGTCCCATACCAAATTATTAAAAAGTCAAATAATCTATCTAAGCCTTTTCTAAGTAGCATCAACATGGAAGAACTGAAATAAGTAATTAACACTGCTAGGATCTTTTAATACTTAACCCTTTCTGATCAACATCAATATTGGAGAAGTGAACCGAGTATTGCAGAAAAAATATAAAAATAAAAATCAATGTCTTAGGATAGATAAGCAAGCAGAATGAACAAAGGTTAGGTTGATATGAATGCTTTGAATGTATTAATCATTCCAACTAGGAAATCATGTCTAAGTCAACAGTAGACGTAAGATGTAATATGTACTGTTTGGTTTTAACTGTAAGTATTAGAAATAATCTGCGGTAATTGGAAACTGTAGAGACAAGAGCAAAAGTAGAACCACAAAACCTGAGTAGCTGCAAACATGAAGTACTACCATACAACCATGTTGTTGCTGCCTTTTTCCGATGTTAGATTTCCCATATATCCATCAGTCTCCTGTTCAGTAAAATCAAGGCTCCTCATATACTCTGCTAAAGCTCCAGGTTCGATTTGCTCACTGTTCTCCCCTGCCGAACTGGCTAAAAGTTGCTCCAGATCTTCCAGATTTGTTAGAGACCCATTTTCTTGCAAGGGCAAAGCGAGATCATCTCCGACCGTCATGCTAACTCCATTTGAGTGCAAATCGTTGAACACACTGCCTGATTCTTTTGAATTCGCTACAGGCAAAAAGGATGATTTCATGATTTCTGGGGCAAAAGGCTGGTATTTGATCATTTGCCCATCGGAAACTGCTTCTGCACCCTCTAAAACATTGTGTTCTGGTGGAGGAAGCTGCCTTCTTCTTTTGTTTATGTTACTCCACCTGTCATTGACGTTTTGCTGAACTAGTTGTGCTATAAAATTAGGAGTTTGAACGACCATAGCTAGAAGCGACATCATTTCTAGCTGCTTTTGTTCCATGCAGCGAATTCGTCGGACCAAGCTATGTAGTTCAAGTTCAGAGTTCTGCTGGTGCTGCCTCACTTTTATTAGCTCCTGCATGAGGGCATTCTTATCCCTCTTGAGAATTTCAATTTCCTCCTCGAACCCAAAGTTCCCAACCTCGATGATTCCATTTACCGATTCAGTTTTCCGATGGGGCTGCTGCGGAGGAGGAACAATATTATTATGTGCTGGCTTTCTTCTTGCAATAGTCTTCAGCAAATGTTTTTGACCTCTTAGAAATCCTTCATTAGCGAACTCCCATCTATCAGGGTCAACTTTGTGGAATCCCTGGTCGAGATAGATAGAATGGCATAATGTGAAAAACACTTAGTAAAGCTATTGCAATCTAAAAATGTGAAGTACTGCTATGCTAAAATAAACATATCATGTTTGCCGGTCACAAATAAAAAGATTGTGGTTTATTTCAACTAAATATATGATGGTGTAGGATGAGTTCTCATTGTGCAACTGATTATTTATTACGATGACATGGTAAATATCATATGCTGGTGTTTGTTTTATTTAAATGCACAAATGCACATCACTTTATGTGTCATCTATTTGAACTTCTCAGAGAAAACAAAATTAACTATGCCAAAAACATGATAATAGCATGAAGGAAGCAATGGAACATTATGTTTCACAAGATCAATAAGCTTATCAAGTTGCAGTCACTCACAGATAAGTTGGCTGTCTTGCACCAATTCCCAAGTAAAATTAAAAGGAAAAAAAATACACAGAACATACCTACTAACTAATGAAACTATTGTGCATTTAGCATTATTGTCTGATCTGGTTTATTTATTTATGCGGATAGAGATAGAGAAACAATTTTTAGCAACAAGTTACTATTTTCTTTAAGTAGAATAATTTCAACACCACAAGTTCTTGTTACTGAATTTTACAAGAACACACTATTCCAAGCTATCACAAATCTTCCACTATCGACTGCTGAACATGAAGATATATCATAACCATACTGAGACAAACCTTTGCATTCACTTAGGATATAAGCCCAGAAAGAGGAAGGGGATTCTGAAAGAACATCTCAATCCGCAGATGATTTAAACACCTGAGGTAAGTATCATCCGGATCGGTTGAATTCAAGAACAAAACATCAAGACCTACAACTGAATCAAGAAACCAACCCCCCCTTTTTTTTCTTCTTCTTAAAACAATACACTAAAAATAGCTAATAGGAACTCCGCAATAATCATGGATCACATTCAGCTCTACATATCATCCTATCACGATAAAGTAGAGCCGTCAGATCTCAATACACCAGAAAACAAAGGAATCGTGCGGTCTCCTAATAGGACTTAATAAGCAAGTAAAGCATCAGCGTAAATGGAACCCCCAATTTGAGCACAACACACCGCGTATGCTGTTCAACTACGATCCATGGCGTCTTAAATTCGGTAAAGAAATCAAGAACAAGAATTGCAAGAGCATGCCAAACCTAAATGATGCGCGGAAAACAATCCAAGAAACGAGAAAGAAGAAGAAAAGGACAAGGGGAGGGAGGGAAAGGGGTCATGGCGAGGGACTCACGTAGGTATTGAGCTGGCGGACGAAGCTCGATAAATTGCTGTGCTTGAAGTACTTGGGGAGAAGGTCCTGGGAGAAGGCGTGGGGGTCCCAGATCACGAAGCTGTCGCTCGTCTTGCTCCAGGAGACCGTGTCGTCGGTCGACGGATCGTCGACCATGTCGTAGCACTTGGTCAGGAACGGCGGCAACACCGGCACCAGCGAACTCCCGCCGCCGCTCGCCATCTGCGCTTCCGTTGCTCCTCCGCCTCGATCCTGTTGGAGGGAGGGGGGGTGGCGGGAAAGAGATTCGAGCGAGGAAGAATAAGAAGAAACGAAACCCTAAATTTGAGATGGGTGAGGAGAGGAGGGAGGAGAGCAGAAGGGCGGAGCGAATTACGATGACGACACCGCCACGGAGAGGGAAAGGAAACCAAGTGTATTTTTGTACTCTTTATTTTTTTTATGGGCTGGTGTCTGAACTCGAAGACCGTGCGGCGTCCGCCGTTGTTACACTTTCGCTGGTTCGGGTTGGCGAGTGGGTCTGAGTCCCACCCAGATTTTGATCAGCCAGCGCAGCGCGGTTGCGATGGGAGCATGTGGTCGTCGACTGATAGCGGAAGTGGGTCCCAAAGTGTAGTCCGTCCAAATCTGTAGTCCATTTATCACAGAATTAGGTACGATTGCACAATAAATACACACATATATACATATATATATAATATTAAATTTTAAAAAATTCAAAATTTTATTTTTATCCATAGAGTATCCCTTTTAATTTTATACATACGACATTTTTTTTATTTTCTGAAAGATAAAATTATCCTTGTACAGTTAGCCTCCACCTAGTTATCTCCCTCATGTTTTAAGCAAATATGACTACAAGTTTTAGCATAGAATCACAATCCTTAATATATATATATATATATATATATATAGAAAGAGAGAGAGAGAGAGGTCCTTCACCTGTCAAAAGACATTACCCAAACACAGGATATGAAACAAACTGTAGTGATCAGGTCATCCGTGTTCTTTGGACGAGTTGTCCCTCACTCTTACAATAGAAGCACAACTGTTTTGCAGTCACTTCCCACGGTAGCCTCCAACTTCACTCTGTCTAACACTGCATCTAAACCAAAATTCCAAACAGAAACAATCAAAACTGTTTTAGAATAACATGACTAGATCTGCAGATAACCTCTTTTTTTCTGCTTTATTGTGAACAAAACTGATCAAATAAATAACTAATCAATCGAGAAGTAAAAGATCTTTCTGCATAAAAGAATAGCAGTAAGATCACAAATCAACAGTACAAGAAAGAATAGCCTGCATTCTTTTTTACTTCATAATGCCTATTCTGCATATGCTCATCAAGCCCCGTGAGACTGCAAAAAAAGAAGACTTATGATGGTCATTGTCTTTTGTTGCATGATGTATTCCAGAGTCCAGACTACCCATTTTGTGACGGTCATTTCCATGCGACCGAATCAATTTCATCTCTTGCAGAAGTGTATAATTGAAGTCGCTTAGCTATGGCATCTCTCTTCTCCATGAGAGTTGGATCCTCATCCAACATAGCGCCAAGCTGCTTCTTCTGCAGTTCACAAGGGGGAAAAGCAATTCAACAACATGCTTCTATCAGGCTTCACCACAAATTTGTAAGCAGGAAAATGACCCATTAATTTTTTTCTTAGAAGCTCCTAAGAAGTGATATCTTGTTTATTCCTAGCAACAGAGACTACTTTTCTGCTCTTAACTACAAAATCTGTCACCTATTCATTCGTTCCTGTTAGTCTATTTCCAAACGCAAGCACGATGGAGATCAAAAAGTTAGGTGCAACATTGTTCTTCTTCAACTGTCTAATGATTTAATGCTTTTCTTTTCTTTCATCCTAGTGCTTCATCCTGAAGTGGAAGCAAATTGAACAGTGGAAGGACCAAAGATGACAGGAACATGTCAGACTACATAAAGTTTAGCACGATTTGTTAAATTGGAAGTCAAAAGATTAATGTTCCATACATATGGCAAAAGGAATAATCTACCATCACTATTTAATCTACAAACACAAAAGACCAATCTAAAGATCATTCTTTACAGGTTAGAAATAATTTTAAGAAACAAACAAGATGAAGGAAGATGCTACAAGCAATTTGAGAATACATGTAAAAGAATTAAAATCCTTTAAACGCATGGTTTAGAACAAGTAAGTTACTTTAATTTGAAAGTTCCTCTGTATACGATCATAAAGAAATGAACTATTTGTAACATGAATAAAGAATCTCGGAAATGATGCTTTATCGAACAAAGCAAGGAGCAATATCTTCCCTATGGTAAAATTCTGTGTGCTCTTGTGCTGCACCATGCTATGATAGTGCCTGGACCAGTATGGTCATTTCATAATTAATTTCACATTGGACGAGTATGGTGAAGTTCTCTCTGGTGTCATGGCCCATCATGCTACGATCATGCATGTCATGATCCCCCATGCACACACCTGATTTTTATATGAACATGGCAGGTGGCAATCATCCTTGTGACATGCCATTACCTCATTGGAAAGATGGAATGGACAGCATGTCATGGCATGGGCAATTGAAACCAGGCACTAGTGTTATAACTTCTAACTATCAAATTTCTCATGTCCTTTACTGAAAGTAAGAAATGCTCCTATGTATGTGCAACACACAGAATGTTCATGAAAATATCTCACTGTTGAAACATTTTCTATAGAAAAAAGAAATCGTGCTGCAAAAAAGTCACAGGCGCAACATAGAGAGAGAGAGAGCAAATGCATTTTGAACAGCAGTAGATTCAGTCAGAATGAAATAATTAAATAATCATTTTGGGAAGTCTACCAGATGTGAACTAGCTAAGTGGGTTAATTTTTCTGCACAAGAAATCATGTGGCAGCTCAAACAAACATTCCCATAAAGTATCACTGCAGGAAGAATTACCTCCCTACTGCCAACTTGGGCATAGAAATGATTAAGCAGTGATCGCTTTGCCTCTCGGACTTGACTATGAACAATTGCCTTTGGTATAGTATTCTTCAGTGTATCATATACCATACCAACATAAGCTGACACATTGGAACCTAAAAGGATATATTTATGAGATATACATTGAAATAACATGCATATCATAATTTGTGATAAAATATAGCATTGGCAGTAGCTCTTAATCCAACATTTTAGTACTGAAAAAGTGGGCTCTTAAAAAAAAATAACATAATAAAAGACAACTATATGGTAAAGTATGTTGCTCTCGAGCTATAGAGAAAAATTAGCAATTGGCCTAGCCAAATTACATAATCCTGTTCATTCAGATTCTACTTCTGGGGGTATTTACATACTTTGCTTCCTAGTTCCATAAGTTCAAAGTTAAACTTGTCTAATCAATCTTTTTTGCCTTCCAACTAGTATGTACTTGTACAAGTCTCCCTTTTACCTAGATTTCTCTTGGTCAGGAATCAAACACTGGTTTTAAAGGGTTCACATCATCTGGATAAAAGTTACTACATTTTTGTCTACTCTTCTATTGTATCTTTTTTCAATTAATTTACAGTCAGCCCCATACAGCTGGGAGAGGACTTAACCAAGAAGGATAATGATGACGATGATGACAATGCTGTCTAAATTCTAATAACTTAAAAAATTAATTGAAAACAAACACATGCATGCTGAAGAACAATTTGAAGTAAAAATCTACATACCAATCTTCCTTAGGTGGTTGTCACCATATCGATCTGTTGCTGGAGTAGAAGTGGGATTGGAACCTTTCTCAGGTTCATGTGAAAGCTTGCGGAAGAATTCCACTGTAAGGTAGCTTGCTTCCATATCTACTAGCCGAAGAACTGTTTTCCGACTGTCATCTCTGAATCTTTCCAATGCTTCATTTGCCGCAGCTGATATGTCAGCTTGAAGCGTTGGGAAGCGCTTCAATTCCTACCAAATGCAACAGCACCATCATTAATAGGTGGCAAGGGGCTTAAAGTTATTTCAAGTTGATGCAACGAAACGAAGCTATGGGTATCTCAGCTGTAGACTGATTAGTTGTTTTACCCAGAACATAAGCAATGTTTTAGATTGTAAAAGGCAAAATCTAACGATTAAGAAAGTTCTCATAAAGAATTTAATTACTAAAGAATACACTATCTATACAAAAAACAAGCAAAAGGGCCTACTATTAAAGCAAAAGAGAACATACGATGAAAATCTAAAAACTACAGAGATAGTGCATGTGCATAACATCACGACACAGGAATCTTCAGAAATCAGAAATGAGAAAACACGTTTGTGTTGATGCAATGAACACATGTTCAGTGCTTCAAGTCATGTTGAGGGCATGGCCACACTCTTTTTCCAGACTTTGGATAGCATATACAAAGTTACCATGTTGCCAACATGGTGCATGGTGGCAAAATTGAACTTTTTTTCCAAATGCCATGTAGTATTTTCTTATGAGAGTCCCTATCGAAAATAAGTTAACTAAATGGCTTCATTACCTAGATAATTTCTTCATTTTTTAAGAGAAAATTATTCTGGGAAACCTTGAAATGATGATGGCATCATAATTTTGTTTGTCTGAAAAGTGAACCATCACATCACTATAAAGCCTACAAGGCTCAAGGGAAACCTTGAACAATGTTTCTGGGCAACAAAGAGACTATCCTTATAGAAATATAATTCCATGTATGCTATAAAGAGAACTCTATAAGTTTAATCCTCACTAGGATGTTTGATCCTTAAGCATCATGTGTTTCTGCATTTTCATAGTCGATTTTGTAGTGGGTATTAATTAGTAAGAACAAAAGAGAATATTTCATAACATTTGAAATCCTCCATTTCCTATAAAATTGCATTTGTCTATTAAAAGGTTCAATAGAATGCCGAAGTGTTGTAACCATTTCCAGTGTAACAGTATTGACCGTTGTGACTATTGTTGTTGTAGTCATATGCATTTGTAACCCAGTAAGGATAATCATAAGAAGAATAGTCTCTCTAATTGATTGTTACACATATTGAACTTAATTATGCATCTACTTGAACTTTTTATTAATGTCTTAGTGAAACATTCTCATATGGTGATAACAACTTAGAAAGGCATTCGGCAGCCAATACTGATGGTTAAATATTAAACAATATAGATGTTGTCCTAAACTTTTAGTGCAAGAAATTGCAAGTACAATTTTATAGAAAAATTCTAACCTCTGTTTCACCAATAGACTTTCTAACAAGATCTTTCAAGACAAAGTGCACCTGGAAATATACAGACAATTAATTTGATGAGACTTTGTTGAAATAAAACGAATGTCATAAAGTGTTCTTATCATGTTAAGCAAATGAATCAATGTAACATATCAAATGCAAAATAAAGAAAATTACAATATTTATAACATTATCAATCTGCTTGAGGTGAAGCATGGCAGAAATTAGCTCACTGACTGTTTGACAGAAACAAAGTTTAGGAAAACCTTTGACACTGTAATGAATAATGGAATAAAGTTCATCTTTTCAACAAGGGGTAACAATTATAAAGATTTAGCAAGCAAAGAATGCTTGAAAGTTATCTAGTATAATGTTGTCTGGTCAAGCTAGAGAAGTCCCTAAATACCTTTAAAACTTCTACTTATACTTTTTTTTTCCAGCAACATTTTGATTTTTTTGATGTTTGAAGTGCTCTTTCATAACAACAACAATAAAAACAAAATCCACAACAAGATATAGGGTTCCAGTTACTCAGATTCAGACACATGCATCTTTCCCACCATTTACCTCTATTTGGCAGTATCACAAGTCAAAATGGGAGCCATAAATTGTCAAAGAAGCATGTTTAGATCCCAAGTAGCCCTAACACAGCATTTGTTTTTCCTGGGTAAATATTCTCAGTCTCAGTCCAATGTGAATGCTTCATATCCACATCTCAAGCAGCACCTTAGAATCATTTTTATATCTTCGAATGTTCACATAACAAAGGCATACGTAAAGGTAAGCATGTCTGTATCAGTGGTATGTTATGGCTGTCGTATTGTCTAGTAAAAGAAGAGAAGTGATTTCTTAATAAAGTCAAACATCCTTAAACAGATCACAGGATGCTCATTTATAATGCACAACCATGACATCATAAACAAAAAAGACTAGTAGATCAGAATCTCAGGTGAAGAAGTATTACAGCATCAACTGAGGCTTCGGCTGGACCCTTGAAATAGCTCAAGGAGCTATCTATGAGCCTCCTATACCCTTGTTCTGGAGCAATTAAATGGGGTTGATAACCGTCTGCTTCAGAAATAACTTTCCGTACATTGTGTAAAGATAGATGTCTATCAAATGGGAGCTTTTTCAAAGCTGCTGGAAGTTGGTTGTCAAAAACTCCATATATACGATCCCCACCAGGCCGCCTAAAGTTGAATAAATAAGAATATGATCTAAAAAATGTCCTAAATTGCATAGAATCATGTCAAGAAGCTAAAAACAGTTGTCCACTAGAAATGAAATCGACTGTAAAGTACAAAAAATCAGTATATCATGCAACTCATCCACCTCTTTATTAAGCCAAATCAAAATGTTTGAACATGCAGCACTTCAACAGAAACGGGATTAAACTGATATTTTTTTTATTTTATATGATCACTTTAAAAGTATTAGCAAGATATAACTGTGAATTATAAGGACTTCATTTGCATTTGAAAAGGGTCAGGCTCATGATCTTTAAAATTGAACTTTTAAACAGATACTGGAGCCAGAATCATGTTCTTGCATGAACAGCCTCAAGCAAGTTCTCATTTTGCAATAACATGCATAGCTATCGAACTACGTTCTAAGTTAAAGGAGTTTGTGCTTACCCTCCATCCAGATGCTCTTTAAAGATGCGATCAAACGCACGACACATCTCTAATATTGTGTATAGTTGTGCCTGCAAGTCATAGAGTTATATACATGTGACAACTCCACACTTCACAATCTAATAAGAAGCTTTCTACTGTACCCCTGAATCAACTCCAATGGGTCTCCCAAGCCAATCCAACTCTGCATCAAGCTCACTGATTGTTTTATTAATTAAAGCTATTATGCTTGGTATGCGTGCTCGTATCACAGACTCCAGATGCTAGAAAAAGGATATGATATAATTTCAGTGCCAATTTTGTTGTGAAAATAGACCAAAATGAAGAAAAATGAAACAGAATGCTCACTTGCGATAATAGCTTTGCAAGATACTCTGAACCCATTTTGTGGGCCAGATGTCCATAATCAGGGCTTGTTGCAAAGTACTCTTGTTCCTTGCGCCGTGCAGCAATCATGTCAACATTCTTGTTAATATCAGCTTGTGAGCGATTGACAATTCCTACCCAAGGATGTTGTAAACGGTATGATCTTCCTTCAAGCACCTAGAGTACATACAGAGAATGCTCCACATTTATAGATCACATTCTTAACTCATATGCACTATAGCAGATAGAAATATTAAGTATGGTGATCCTACATCCAGAGCATTTGTACCCTTATCCATCAAATCAAGCTTTGTTAGGACACCAAAGGTTCTCTCACCTGTACAAACATATACAATGACCCTTGTTGGCATATGATTGTGAGAAAAATATTGTAAGGATTAATCAAAGAAAGAAATTCTACTGCATAAACCAAGTGGGAAATAGCAGTAACAAGCATGATGAAGGGGTGGGAGAAAGTTTGCATCACAAACACAAAATGAGGAAGAAGAGTATAAATGCATGGTCTTTCCCAACCCTTTTGTGTCCAATAAATAAATAAAATTTCTACCTGCTGGATCGACTTCCCTTCCAAGCTTTATAGCATCTGAAGTAGCAATGTCTTGATTAGCAGGAGAAATGGCTAGTATGATACAATTGGGCTAGAATTGAGCAGAAACCATTAGCAAAGAAGAATTTAAGCACCTTGCTTGTTAGAATTAAACACGATAATAACAAATACACAACCAGAACTTTATAAGAAACCATAAACAAACAAGTTGACGAAGAAACAAGTACAAGGAAATGAAATTCAAATCAACAAAAATAGGTAAAATATTGGTGGGAAAAATAGCATATCATTGAACAAAGCCTCATGACAAACAAAAATTCCCTTTTGGCATATCAGAACCATGCCAACTAACTGATGGAGCAGGACAAGTGTCCAAGTTACTGAGCTCAATCTTGCAAAACACTAATTATATTGGCTTAAGCTCACACTGTAGATGATCTTTTAAGGTCTTGGCATAGTCTGGATAAGAATTTTGTAACATGCATGAAATGATTCAGTACCCAGGCTTGTGATCTGTAAATTGGATGGTATGCAATGCATATGCACAACATCACACCACGGGATCCAAAGATACTAAGGTATCAAAGTGTGACTGTATCAGAAAGAAGGCCCAATGCACGTTTATGAGAACCTTGCCCATGCAGCATGTTACAGAGCACCATCCCTCTGTGAGTATCATTCAATCAGTGTGCCAAAAGCAAGATTGCTACATTAAATAAGAGTGATATAAAGTCAATCTCCAGGAAGAATCCAACAAACACAACCATTCAGAGGGCTCATGAGAATCCTATGCCCACTAAGATCACATCAAAGAAGACAAAGGAGATGAACTAGAATCCAATAACTTTTTTATTTAGTAGAACAGGAGTCAACAACCCTGATTGGATTCCCAAGCACATTATCCTCACAGACTGTAAATCTGTACAGCCTGTATAGATGGGTCTGGGAACACCTCCCTAATGCTTTAGTTTGAGAGATATTTCAGTTTCTACAGTTTTCATCCTCTAATATTATAATTAAAAGGCCTTTATGAACCAAAAAGGATGCAACACATTTCTCCAATATTTTTAGAATAATATCCTGAGTTCTAGTTAGATTCAAACGTTGGTAGATATTTCCCTGAAAAAGAGAAATCCCAGCTGAAGTGGCTGTTCCTAACAGTGCTATAGAATAGTTTAAAGAAACCAAGAATAAAAACATACAAAGATGCAGTTTACCTTTTCAACATATGACCGGACCATATTTTCAATATCTTGAACAATTGATTCAGGTTGGTCCTCTGCAAAGGCCATATGTATGAGAAACTTCAAAGAACAAAAGCATCAATTTCATAAATTGCAAGATTGCTGAATCTTCTGCTCCTGAGATGCTTACCTACTGCAACCTTTGTCAATCCAGGAAGATCTATGAGTGTTAAGTTAACAACTGTAAAATATATGATGTTAGCCAGGAAAACTCTAAAGCTGTTTAGTTTGCTAAAAAACAAAGAGAATAGCAAAACCATCAACTGATAATTTGTAAGTTTCTTTTCCTGCTTTTGACAATTTCTAAAAAAATCTTTGCAAAAGCATGTATGCTGATCAACATGTATAAATCTTGAGAAACAAAAAAAAAGTGATCTGAAATATTTGAACTGTTTGTAAGAAGAAATATGCATGCAAGAAACTGTCACCATTGTTAAGTTATATCATACACCAGATACTATCTAGAATATAACATAGAGACAGGTTTCTATGATAAGGATGATGAAATTTGGCTCCACTAGTGAAACAGTGGGAGCACATCGAAATAATAATTGTTGATACATTGAAATAGGTTGTTTGCATGCATGAAAAAAAAAATGAACATGATATATTGAAAAAGAAAATCATATATCATTCGGACAAGTCTCCTAAGTGCTCTTGGACTATCAAGTCCCAGTCATTTGAAGAACTTTGTCGCCTTATTCAATTACTCATATACTGTGGCCCATATAAATTGCAAATGATGAGTCTTTAGAAGAAATCAGACAATACACAAAAATAGGAAAACTCCAATTTTTGTTCAAAGCTTTTTCTATGACAGATGAAGAACATAAAGTTGCAGATAAGTATAACTCCAAGCGTTAATATAAATGAAACTTAAGGAAGATTACAAAGTAGCCTGACCCATAAATCATCATGATGTCAACATTTTAATGATTAAACAATATAATTAACTCTCTCTCTCTCTCTCTCTCTCTTAATCTCTTTCTTTCTGTGAGAATATGACAGAGACAAGGGGTGGAGGGAGGGATGGAGTCACAGTCTTGACCAGACGCTAAGAGCTGAATATGTGCTTGAAGGAATCTAAGAGAAAGGTTTTGTAGATAGGCACTGAAACTCTGATACAGAATGTCAGCAGGTCTATATTATTATGAACTCGAGAGCCACCACTCACTATTACTATTTCTTTTTTTTTTCTTTTATTTACAAGGCAAGGTCCATTTGAATCACCAAGATCTAAAGTTTGAATGATGTTTGCCACCTCAAGAAAAGAATGATATCGACTTAAGAGTGACAACACCTTGGTCCAATCAAGATAGATTTAGAAAAACCTACATTATGTTTATATTATTAAGGTTCACACAATTAAATTAGTTTTCCCTCTAGCAAACCCTAGTAATAAAATTTATCTTTACTCAAACAATTGATGAATAATTTCTTGATGAGATTTAAGATTATGTAGATAATGCATTATATTAAGTATCCACTATCTTACAAGGTTACATCTACCCAAAATTAATGATAAGCAACTGTTGAAGTTTGAAGTAAAAAAGGATAAGAAATTGACTCATATTCATTATTGACAAATAGATAAGCTATTCACCAAATGGAATACGAGAAATGACATGGAGAATAAATGCTCAATTGGAAAATTGGAAATGATTGCTTACATACTTCTTAACAAATACATAAACAGTTCCATCCTAAATTTCTTATGTTTACAAATACATAAAGATACTTTTCTATAATGCACCAATTAAACATGAGTACTCCAATGCTCAACTTCTGTTGATACATATTTCTTCTGAGTGTAACAAGGTAGAAAAGGTACGGTAAATTACTTTATAGAAAACAAAGCTAACAGCAATAACAGAATATCCACTTTCATGCCACAGAAAGTAAAAAGGTAAGGAGAAAAAATGAAAAAGAATATAGGGAATTTAAAAGAAGGAATTTTATATAAGTTTATGTTGATACACGATCAACTATATGCACTTACCATGGGGTGAATAAATGCTCAAATGGATTGGGACATTGGATATTTGTTTTGATTTTCCTGTTATGCGATCAGTCTCATCCTGAATCTCCTTCCTCACAGCAGCTGTACATGCACATGATTTGGAATATACTTTAACTGCCTCGATTTCTAGCACATAACTAAACTGAAGAAGGATAGACCAAAATTCTTGTAAGTGCATCTGAGTTCTCAAGAGAAAGAATTACAAAACTTGACAGAAAATATAACAGAAAATGAACAAGACGTCTATGTGCATATAGCTAATATCAAGAATATGTGTATGAAGGTGCCTAACAACCAAAAGAGAAAAAAATTAAAATCTTTAGGAATATTGTTGACCAATATATTCATGGAATGGGACTTGAGGCACTTCTGACATAAATTAACGCAAAACTACCATAGGATTAGGAAAAGGATATGTGTGGAAGTTACAAGAGAAAAGAATATCCGCTGGCTTCAGTGGAGTGAAGTAAACTAACTAAATTGGGACCTAAATAAAGCCAATATGGTCTTCTGAATATTATCATGGACAAAACAAACATGGAAATCCACAATACCATTGAAAGAGAGAAAACAAGCATCCAGGCTAGCTATCATGCAGTCATGTGGTGCTTTAACAAGGAAACAAGAAGAGCAGAGGAACTTTGAATCTGATCGTCTACATAAATTTTACTGAAAAAATTTGTCTTCATAAATTAAGAAAAGGACATTAAATCTTGCAAATACTTCATAAATTTTACTGAAAAAAATTGTCTTCATAAATTAAGAAAAGGACATTAAATCTTGCAAATACTTCAGCACCAAAAAACATACCCTAGATAAAAACCATTGAATGGTAGGGTCAAACGCCAACCTGCCAAACATTAGTTGTTTCACAAGGCATTGAGGTTCATTAATATCAAATTTTCGCCAAATTACGGGCTAATTATCAGCAAGGTAGAAAACCTCCAATCTACTTCAAGGAGAAAAAAGAAGGCCTAAATCAGTAAAACGGTATCAGATATTTTACCAAAGGAACTCAAAGAAAGAAAAATTGAAAAACCTAAGCAATACAACACCCTAATAAACAGAAATGTTTGCAAGTTCAATATGACGTAGATTGCAGCAACAAGGATTAGAATAATAGGTTAAGACCAATAATATCTTACCAAAATCAGTAAGCTTCTTTCTGGGGGCATGAAGGAACTCTGCATACTCGGTTCCCGCGTCGGTCTTGTGAAGTTGCAAGACCAACGGCCGCCTTGTCACGATACCTATCATACATTTCCAATCAAACACATGATCCGATGCCAATGAGGAAAGATTGACACCGAGAGGGGGAGAATGCAAGGGTCCCGTTTCTCTATCGGATTACCGGATCCACGAGGCAAGAAGTCCCTTCCGACGACGCTCTCCAGCACGGACGACTTCCCCGAGCTCTGAGATCCAAAGAGGGGGAGCAAATTAGGAAAGACCGCAAGATTTCACGTGGTCCAGGAAAACAGAAGAAGGGGGGAGGGAGACGTACCTGTCCTCCGACGACGGCGACCGAGGGGAGGGCTTCCCACAACGATCCCTCGCCGCCGTGATCGCCAAGGACGGTGCAGGCCCTCTGGATGCGGTTAACGAGGCCGATCAAGCTCTCCATGGTCGCCATTCTTCTACGGCGAAGAGGCAATAGGATGACTCTGTGGAGGGAGGCTGCGAGGGGAAACTAAAAGAACGGTTCTTCCTCGAAACGGGGACGAGGTCAGGTGACCTTATATACCATGTTGAGCAAGCCGATGTGCACGTACTTTGTTGCGATGCTTCACCAACCAAATGTTTTCAATTATATATATATATATATCCCTGTGACTATTTAAATATTATATATATATATATCGAAAATTTTGGTAATTGCTGCTGTTAATCATGATTATTAATGAATTTAAAGATATTGAAAATTTAGTTTACCTAAAACATCCCTAATTACTTTTGGGAATTGTTTGATCCTTCATACTTTTTCGATGTCAAACAACTTGAAACTAATTTACAACAATGATATATTTGAGTGTTTTTAAGTTTCGTAGGCAGCTATACATCAAACTTAAATTTAGGAGAGCAAATATAAAAAACAATCGCTTTAGAGGAATGTATACACATAATTAAAGGAATCAACTTAAGTCGATGCCATTGCAATTGGGCCCTCTGGTGGTTCCCAAATTTAGGACCATAACTTTTGTACATTCTCTCACCAACTCACATTTCCCACAAGTTTTAATAACACAAATGGAGAACCAACCAAATGCACATGATCCAGTTTTAGGGAGAGCAGAGGAAATCAAGATCAACCAATTAGGGGGTGTATAACACACACAAATCTAGGAACAATCAATTAGAGTGTGTAGCACGCAAGCAAACGCAAATATGGAATTACAATATTTCCCACATCCTTGAAAAGAAGCGGAGAAAGAAAAAGGAAAACCAAAACACTACTGGCGTGACTTTGTAGAATGCTGAAGAACAAGGATACACCAGGCTATACAAAACAAATAAGACATTGTCTTACCAAAATAAGAGGTCATGAAGTTAGCAAACCCATGCATCACTTGCTGTAGCCAAACTATATAGAGTCGAAGTCTGGCAGCGAACAGGATCTCATTTTCCAAATGAGCTCCCTGGCAGAGTGTTGCAGGGTGTCTGGTGCTGGTTTAAGTCTAAAGATCAACTCGACCGAGGGATGAAGAACGATGCAGAGGATCTCGTTGATATCTTCAACCCTTGTATTTCTTCGTTATTGATTGCGCATCGACCCACTACGAGGCAGAGTCCTAAATACGGAAGCAAAGACACAACGTTATGTAATTAGAAAGCAATTTTACAGTTTCTATACATGAAACCTCATCATTTTGATTCATTATAATGAAGCTGGTACATTAATGTTAGGTTTGAGTGCTAATATTTTTTCTACAACATAAAACATGTCCGTGGATATTATAGTCTGTGAATTTATTTGGACCTTTCGTGAATGAACTTTCTATGGTATTAAGCCGTTGTTGGATGCCATACTAGTACCTCAAGAAATGCCAATGGACACAAAGCCGCAACAGGTTTGAAGAATCAGTAAATGACAAAGCAAACAAATTAAGTACAATTAAATAAATCTATTTTCCTTTACAAGTTCGGCGCAAGGGAGAAGGCTATCAAAAGATAATGCAGATGTATCAAATTAACACCTATAATATGTCAGTGAGAAACAAGGCCAGAACTGACTAGTTAATGAACCAAGAATTTCAATAGACATTACAGAATTAATACCCTACATTCTAAAGAGAATTCAATCTCAAGCCTGATTTGTCTATAATCAATTGATTTTATATGCCAGCCAATTTTGATTTATCATCAATCTCCAAGGTTCAACAAAAGCTGGAGTCCCATCTAAAGGGTATATCACAATCATATTCTACAAAATCTAGTCAATGCTTTCAATATAAATAGAATTCAGCTAATATAAATGTTATATTTGATGAAATATTAATTTCAAATTATGCAGCAGAAACAACAATTAGATCTAGACCAAAATCATCAAGAGGAACTGATATGCAGTAAAAAGAATCTTAGCCAAGTGATCACAAATGACAAATACCACAGACAGAGTTGTCATACCTTCCTGGTAGCAATTGAGAAGTACTCGTCGGGCCCTTGGAACCACCAAGCCTCTTGGACTTGTTATCTTGTTCTTTCTCCACTCGAATAGCAGCCACCTCTTTCTCCATTGCAGCTACTTCCCTTCTCATCTTTTTTGCCTCCACTTCCATCGCTTTAGTCAATGTATCAACTTTCTTGGCCAGCATCTAATTAAGAATATCACAGAAAAAGTTAGGCCTTGGAAAATGGCAGCAGGACTTGTACAAAGACGCAACAAAGACATTTACCTCAATTGCGTCATCCTTGTCTTTTAAGCTTTGGTCCTTCTCATGACATGCTTTTCTCAATGAAATAACCTCCTTCTGCAACATGTCATACAATAACCCAGATACACAATCATCCGCGTCGACATTAGGGAACTCAGTGGTTTTGTCATCTGGATTTTCTTTCCAACTGTTTTGCAAGACATTATCCCTAGTTGCGTCTGAAGACTTGTTCAGCAATAAGCCTGCTCCATTCAAAAGGGCTTTGCTACGGTCCAATGACCTAGTGCCACCATCAAACGACTTAGATGCCCCTTTGGCATGTTTCAGAACTGTGCTACTAGATATAGAAGATCTCATCTGAAATGATGGTCTCCTTGACAGGAAGCCATTAGCACTCTTTGGAATATTATCAGCTCCACCAAGGGACTGGCGACGTGAAGGACCATTGCTTACATTCTTTCCCTCCACATTGATACGGTTAGTACCACTTGCCGACATTCTCAATCCATCTTCTAAAACCTTGAGCCGTAAATGAAACTTCTCCTGAAAAGTCAAAAAACTTGTCACTTGTCAACATATATCTTGATCTACGTCACAACAAATGGAACATAAATATGTTAAAATTTGAAGGTGAAGTATTATACTTTTAATTGAGCTTCAGATCTTGCAGTACGCTCTGAAATGGCAAGTTTATCTCGAAGTTGCTGCATCTCACCCTGCAAACAAAAGTCAAATGATGACAATGTTTACCACAACAAGAAAAAGTATTGGGAGTTTAGCCTATCCAATGAAATTCTAGAAAAAAAAAAAGAAGATACATAATCTGGGGAAAACAAATATTCCAGGATATATCAACTCCATCTTGAAGTAAATTAGCGAACAATTAATGCTAACCTGCATGAATCTTCGTTCCTCAAGCCACTGTTTAACAGGCATTACTTTGTCATTAGCATCCTTCCATTCATTTGCCACTACCACTGCAACCCTATTAGCTGTAACCTTTGCCCGAGAAAGTTCACGGTCAAGGGTTTTCATCTCTTCCTGAGAAAATAAACAACAAACATGATAATGAGAAAAATGCACATCTATGCTCTAATGACTTAAGTAGTTCAAATACAAGAAAAGAAGGAAATTTCACTAATAGATCATAATAAAGCCGAACATATTACACTCATCTCCTGAACTTTCCGCTGGTAATCCCTAACGGCATTTGCAGCTGCACCACCTGCAAGAACAGCCTCTTCTAGTTCTCGCACAGTCTGGCTAAGTTTTTCAACCTCAGCAACCTTTTGTCGGTGCATTTTATCCAAGATCTTGTTCTCCTCCTAAAAGCAAACAATGGATAGAGTGAACAACTTTTAAAAGCACTACAGCCTACAAACTTTGTCCAAAGTCAACGACTGAAAATTAAATAAGCATTTACATCCTGAATACCTGACAGATCTCAATCTGTTTCATTAACTCCTGGTTCTTATTTTGTAGATCGTCCACCAAAGAAGCCTTTGCTAGAGCAATCTGTACAGTTCGTTCTGCATCCAGAAGTGCTGCTTCCTTTGATTTAGTAAGACGATCTAATGCCCTGTTGTCATCCTGTAGCTTTGCAATCTGTACAAGAGAACTAGCATGTGGGTATTGTGCAATACTAGGAGAGCTATCTTCAGCAGTTTCCAATTTTACTAGCTCACTTTTTTTCTGCTAATTCATAAATAAGCCCAAGGTGTTATGCCCAAAAAAAATTGTTCAGGTGCCTTGCAACCAATTGAACAGTTAACTCTTATCTCCTAAGAGCACAACACAACTGACATACAAATATCACAATGACCAGAATAACTAATATTCAGAAAGACGTTAAAGCCAAGCTCACAAAGCAATAGAAATCCTACCAGTGTGAGGTTGTGATCTTTCACAAATTTGTTTCACTGTGAATAATAGCCGTTGGGGAATAGATTGTGAAAAGTAAAGAGTGCACCCAACAACAGGACGTGTTCAAATATAAATATTTAAGATGCTAAAGAATTTAAATCATCAGACAGATTGTTTAAAAACAAAAAAAAAAGAAAATACTTGAGTAGTTATTGCAAGAAAACTAAGTTGTTTATTAATTCAATAGAAAATGATGGTGGTTGCTGGCCACAGGTAAAGAACATCTACATTTGGGTGCAATACTTTGTCAAAGGAAAAATGGAAGAATGATAAGACTATGCAGGAGCAAGATTCCAAAACAACCTCTTGACGCGCTAGCTTCAACTCTGCCTCGAGAGGTGCAAGAATGGCTTCAATTGGAGGCATGTCATCATCCTTTTGAGCTGCGTGAACTCTTCTAAGTGTTGCCTCAGCTGCAAACTGGGCAGCCAAGGCTGCTTTCTTTTCATCATTTATCTTCTTAATTTCAAGATTCTGCAAAGTCACTATCTCATAAACCACAGACTCATAACAGAATCATAATAGGAAAAACAACAGTAAGAAGGAATTTTTTGTTGTACCCTGCTCTCCAGGAGCGATTCGGTGAGCTTGAGCTTCTCATCCAGCTTTGTTAATTCTTCCGTCAGCTGATATAGGTGAGAGGACGAATAGAATGCAGCGCATTGATATCATGGATTAGCTTAGTCTTTTCTTAGATCGGAATACAAAAATTAAAGAAACAAATATCAAAGAGTATTCAACAAATAAAAAGAAAAGATAAATAATGCATTAACATTTTGGCATCAAAATGCACTTCAAAATTAATTGAAGGCATGGATAACATTGTAATCCTCATTAGTTGGCTAAAGAAATTAATATGGCCTGTCTCCAAGTAGATGGCATCCGATGAATCCACGACTCAAAGTTACAAGACCCATTTGTATTTCCTTCACTGAACCCAAAAAAGCATAACCCAATTTTAGATGGAATCTTAGAGCACCTTCACGTGGAAATGTTTCGAGTAAAGCCAGAAAAGATTCAATCTTTAGCACATTCTCCATCCCAGAAACCATAGCAAATAAGTTGAACTACTGGGAGCACAGCATGTTACTTTATCATATACAAAAGGAAACTCACATGTCGACTGTGCTAAGAACTAATATAAGCTCAATTTAACGACAACAAATGGAAACAATGAGAAATTTCAATAAAACAACCATCGCATGGCAGTAACAGGTTCTTTAAAAAAAGTACCAGTTCCTTGCTTCCCAAAAGAAAATAACGAGAAAGGAAAATAAGCTTTCAACCATATATCCGAAGGCAGCATCAGAAAATAAGACAAAGAAGAGGCAGAAAAAAAATGGCAACATACAGGAATAGAGATCAAGGAAAATAAACCAGGAGAACATGGGAAGCAACAAAAGAACGAGCAACAAGAAGTAAAATCGAGTCACCTCTTCGACTGCCCTCTCTCTTGCACGTTCGGACAACCTAAGAGCCTTGATCTCCGCATGTGCCTCCGACAATTCCCGATCTTTGTCTGCATACCCCCCCCAAAGATTTAAACTTCAGTGCACAAAGCTACATTTCCCCACCACATCAATCATTTACATAAACATAGAAAAATAAGGAAAACCCACATTCCCACCTCTAACTTCATTCTCGAGCCTGTTGAGCTCCACCTTCACCGGATCCGATCCATGGAGCAGATTAATGAACTCCTCGACATCCAAGCTGGGCTTAATCGAGGCCCTCCGCCTCAGAGTCGGCCCCGCCTTCGGCTCACCCCTGGACGAGACAGACGCCGTGAGAACCGCCGGCTGCGTTGTCGGCGTCGCATTCCCCCCGTCGGCCTCGCCGACGAACCCCTCCCCGCAGTCGTCGAACAGATCTGACATCCCGGATCTGACGCGCTCTCACATCGAGAAAGAACCCAATAACAAAAGAAGAGGGGAAAGAGGGGGAAAGGAAATCGAAATGCGAATCTCAGCACCGGATCGGAGGATTAGGGTTTCCTCCTCCTCGATCGCGACTGAGATCTCCTTCCGAGGGCTTCGATCGATCGATCGATCAGCTCCCGAAGGAACCCTAACTCCGTTATCCTCCTCCGATCGCCCTCGTCGCGGGTGATGTGGCGTGGGGGGGAGCATTAAGTGAACTACAGTGAAGCGAGAGCGAGGAGGATCGGATCTCCTTTTATACTACCCTTCCTCAATTACCGGCAGCAGGCAAAACAGAGAACTCAAAAGCAGCCGCATAAGCTCTATCGGTGCCCAAAAAATCGAACCCGAATCTTGATGCTGATCCAAGGGAGGAAAATGAGCTCGCAGCGCGGATTCGACTTCTGAACGCGCGGTGCGGGCACCGCAGCAGGAGGAAGGAGATCCTGCACGCTCGGAGGGGTAAGACACGCATCCCGGTCATGCAATCTCAACTCCGCCGTTAGGCTGTCCGGTGCTCGACAGCCGACACGGATCCGACGTGTCGTTGTCCGGAGAGCCGAATCGCGTGAGCGGGAACAAAATCGAACCGGGAGTCTGGTCCGGTCCAAGGAAAACCGAACCGGATCCAATGCAAACTCGGCCTCAAAGTGCGAGCCGTCCGCGAGATGAAAAGCCGTACGCTTTCGACGCAGCTCAAAGTAGAAAGCACACGACGGGCACGAGAAAAGCCACCGTGACCTGCGGATCGAGGAGACGAGGCGGATCTCTGCTTCGCTCGACGACGGCGCCCCTCATCGCACGGCATGAGCTACTGCTCATCATTTCCACTAGCTCTTTTCGGTTGACACGGGGTGGGGCATCTCTCAGACGAAGCAGATGGAATCAGCCAAGGAGGAGGAGGAAGCTCCAAAAGCCAACGATGGCAGATGAAGTGAAGAACTCCAGCAGCGTTTCTTTCGCATGGCCATTGACTGGGGAAGAAGGTGTTGCTGGAAGAGTGTTGGATGGATGCAGGGATCAGTTTTTTGTCTTTACCAGCATGCATCGCCAACATCATGCACCTAATTAACTTTCATGTGAGATCTAAAAGAATCAACATCTACCCTTTTTCATTGGAACAATCTAAAAGAATCATGGAGAATCTTAAACTCAACAGTGCTCACACGAAAGATTCTCAAGTACAAATTGCAGAAAATATTCTTTCTTGGAGAAGTTAATATGTACTTTGTAGTATATGGGACCTCAAAGTCAAAGTTCATCAAACCATTTGAGGCTCCCAAATTCCAACCCCTACACATTAGAAGAGTGTTTGTTGTTCACCAAATAAAGCAAAAGAAGGAGAGGCACTCCCAAAGTCCTTCCTAACCGATGTATATACAGCCTAACCCGAAGACCTCATCTATGAGAGGCCTCCGCGACGAAGGAAACAAAGACAGATTACACATCCCTACTCGCCACCAAACCAAGATATGACGAGCAAGGGGTGAAGAAACCACAGATTAATACATACATACATACATACATAATCTAATGATAAGAAGGTATTCATCCTGGAATGCAGATAAAGAGAGAAGAGCAAGCAAGTTTTGCTCAATCATAAAAAAAAAATGAAGAAAAAATGAAGCAAGCACCAGAATCATAAATCAGAACACAGCCAGGTGATCTTAAGACTCGGCAATGGAGTCCGTCCTCCTCGATGAACTGTCATCACCATCTTCTAGTCCATCGGCATTGTCCTGCTGCTCTCGGTGGACTGCTCTTCGACTTCGGATCTCCTCGATGCGGACGACAACCTCTGGCATCGAAGGCCGCATGTCCGGGGACTGAGCTGCACAGTTTATGGCGAGCTGCAGAAGCTGCACCATCTCCTCCTCCACGTTTTGGTACCTCAGCAGCTCCGGATCAAACACCTCGGCTGCCCACTCATCGCGGACGATCGATCGGACCCACCTTGGCAGATCGACGCCTTCGTCGTTGAGGAGGGCTTGCGTCGGGGCCTTCCCCGTTAGCAGCTCCAGTAGAAGCACACCGAAGCTGTAGACGTCAGCCTTCTGGGAGACCCTGCAAGGGTCGGTGACCTCGGGAGCACGGTACCCGGAGACGCGGGTTGGAGAGGAAATGGGACCTGCAAGAAGGGCGAGGCCATGGTCGGAAAGGCGGCCTTCGTATGACTTGGTGAGGAGGATGTTGGAGGACTTGATGTTGCCGTGCGAGGCCCAAGGTCCGGCGGAGTGAATGTATTCGATGCCACGAGCTGCCGCAAGCACGATGCCAATTCTCGTCTCCAAGTTGAGAGGAGTTCTGCCGGAACCCCTGTTGCCTGCAGAATGAATTCCACCAAACATCAGTCGAAGCAGGCAGGCTGATGTAGCCGAAAAATCTTCCATGAACTCGAGCCAATCGAAATGCACACGAATGAAGAACACTGTTGACGATCTCCCACAGGTTTGCAGATATCTAATTCGATTAAAAGGAAGAGAAAAGATGTAGAAATGCTCAAAGAGGAAGAGAAAGGAAGGGGAGGAAGCAAAATGGGTTACCATGCAAGAGAGCGGAGAGGCTTCCCAGGGGCATGTAATCATACACCAGAAGCTTCTCATCCTTGCTGTACAGGTACGCCCTCAGCGGCACCAGGGTCGGGTGGTCCATGGCGCCGATGACCTCCACCTTCTCCCGGAACTCCCTCTCCGTCAAGGCCACGTCTCTCAGCCTCTTCACCGCCAGCGTCGTCCCCATCTCCAGCACCGCCTTGTACGCCGTCCCGAACGTCCCCTTCCCCAGCACCTCCGCCGACGCCCTCAGCAGGTCCTCCAGATCGAACAGCGCCGCCCGGCCACCGAAGAACACCAGCTTCTCCGCCCCGGCCGCTGCTACCGGAGTCGCCGACTGGACATTCCCGCCCGCTGCTCCTCCTAAACCCTTGTCCCGCTCTGACGCCGCCGAAGCCTCTGACTGCTTCCCTCTCGCCTCCACCGCCTCCAGCGAACTCGTCTTGCTCTTGCCGCTCCTCCGGCAGAGTAGTATCAGCAAGATGAGCCAGATCAGGAGGAAGACGGCGGAACCGATGACGATCCCGGCGATGGCCCCGCCGGAGAGCTTCTTCTCGTCATTCCCGGCCGCGCCGCCAGCATTTCCTCCCACCGGCACCTGGGCCACGGGGCCCTGGCTGCTCGGGCTATTGGCCGCCGGAGACGGCGCTATCTCGCCGGGGCACGGCCCGAGCGGCCCCCCGCAGAGCCCCGTGGCCAAGAAAGCGCTCGCCGGAAACCCGCGGAGCGCGGAGGGGATCGACCCGTTGAGCTGGTTGAACGATGCGTTGAATTGGGCGAGGTTGGACAGGTCGAACCGGGGGATCTCTCCGGCAAGCCGGTTGGTCTCGAGGTAGAGGGTGCGGAGCCGGGTGAGGTTGTTGAGCTCCGGCGGGATGCCGTCGGAGAACTGGTTCCCGGCGAGGTTGAGGCGGACGAGGTTCTTGAGGGAGCCAAGGGCTGGCGGGATCTCGCCGGAGAAGCGGTTCTGCTGGAGGTAGAGGTTGCGGAGCTCGGAGAGTGCGGGAAGGTCCGGCGGCAAGTCGCCGGAGAGGGCGTTGTAGCGGAGGCTGAGAACGCGGAGTTCGGAGAGGTTGCCGACGGTGCCAGCGGGGATCGAGCCGATGAGACCGACGGCGGGGAGGCGGAGGGCGGTCACGCGGCTGGACCCGCACGCGACGCCCTGCCACGTGCATGGCGAGTCGGAGGCGTTCCACGGCAGCACGAAGCGCCCCACGGCGGCGCGGAGGGCAAGCAGTGCGGCGCCGTCCGCAGCCAGATCCGGTGCTCCGCCGGGGATCGAGGACATCAGAACTAACGACACCAGAAACACACCGAAGAAGAAGGGTGGTGTAGCCATGAGGGCGGTGACGGGACTCGCAGTGTCTCCCGTTATATGCCGCGCACGGTTCGCTCCACCCTCTCCCGCGGTGCTATAAAACCCTAATCTTAAGCCACTTGAAATGGTAGGAAGTCCCACCACCCACTTTGATTTCGTTGCCTTGACAGCGAGAAAGACTACGACGAAGAAGGATTGGAGCAAAATTACTCGCTTAAGCTTCAATTAGGAGAGAGCCTAATTCTTAACGCCTAAATTTCATGCAAGTAGACAGAGGAGAAGGAAACGTACAGACTACCACTGCGGCAACTGTTTCTTCCTTCACTTTTGTAGTCAGTACGTATACTACTACTCTTTTCCTGCATGTTTACCTTTTTGTTTCAAATGCATGTATCTACGTGGGACTTCTTTAATTGTGTTTTGGATTAGTCTTTGTATTAGTTGAAGCGGATTAAAGGGTTGGTGGAAAGTCGAACAGACTTTAAGAAACGGCAGCTCAACAGATGGGCCCCGCTGCCGCGGCAAGTAACAGCCGCGAGTTGACGGCGTTCGGAGGCGGATGTCAGGTCTGGAAGAATCTCGGCCCTCCGATAGCCTAGACGACGAAAGAGGACCGTCGGATCGATCCATCGGATTAAGATCCGAGCATCTTCCCTTATTGCCGTTGTTTCTCGTGCAGCGGACCCCGCCGCTGCACGAGACCGTACTACGGTTCGTGGCGAAGCGGGATCCACCAGCATCTCGACAGCTGTCAGGGGCTCGTTGGACGGCCGTGATCAATCATCACGGGTAGTCCTAGCGAGAATACATTTGTCTGATTCAGTCTGCCTTTGCCAAATTCAGAAATATATCGATATTCAATTTTATAAATACTAATAAAGCATAAATAATATATATATATATATATATATATATATGGCTCCAAATATTAAGATCCTTTGGATATATCTATCTGTACATTGATATCCATCCTATGCAAACACATACAAATAATCTAAACAAGAAACATCAAACCATCAAGGTTTTAGCTAAAGTGTTCTTGCACATCCAAATAAATCTCGAATCTTAATTGATCAGGAATACAGAGATGAAAACTCAACAATGGATCCATCAGGCTACCAAGCTATATGTCTGGCAGTCACAAATTAGCATCTGGATGTTGGATGTCTTGAGTTTGAAATGTCAAGATCAACCATGGAACACTCGAATCAATAAATAGAACCATGTGTTCTACCAAAGTATTTTGAGAACATTCCAAAATAATGTAATTTGGAAATCTAAGTTGCTGTCACAGAATGCAGTTACTGAAAGAACTATTTAATAGATATCCTACTTCAATGTACTGATGTTGCCAAATTACAAGAGAATGTAATGTGAAATTTAAGCAACCAAAAGTGCAACTTAAGAAAGTTTATAACTACTACTCTCTCTCTCTCTCTCTCTAACCTAATCTTATTTAAGGAGAATAATTAAGATTTGGACCATTAATTGATGGACCACACAGATGCATATGCAGATTGGTTCCCCTGATGGAAGGTTGCATTTCCATAGCTTGCAGGTCAAGTAGTCTCCATGTTCAGCATAGCATAAATTTCTCCAAGTCGAAATTTTGATTGCAATTAATAAAGTGCCATTTCTCCCACGGTCAACTGAAACATGGGAGTACAGTACAATAATTGCGTAATAAAGGAGTTAATGCTTGCAATGAATTATAAATGTAAAATGACAAGTAAAGAGAAATATTTCTGGAGGAAATTATTTTTAAAGATGACTACAAATGACCATATCATTTACTGATGAGATAGGTAGGATCTTGCATGTTCCTTTCATATTTCAGCTTGCATGGTGAGGCAAAAAGATCATTTGGTAAAAGGAATTGGCTTTACAAAGAAAGAGTGTTCCTTCAAGTATGCCTTATCACATGCAAGACCAACAAAATCAACACAATCAAACACCAGTCAGCTTTAAGAAAGGCAAGAAGCTGAGAGCATTTTGGAGAAAGTAACAATCCTGATTCAGTATGAGTTGCATAACTCATATTTACCTCGTTACAAGTTCTACAATGTTCAAACAACCTAAAATAACCCCTGGAAGACTTGATTGGAGCATGACTGTTTCGTGAACCTACCACTTTTGACTTCGGGATTTTTGATATTGTTTTGCTTTGTAAAAAGAAAAAACTTCAAATTTATCCTCTCTGCTTTTCCATGATATGAGAAATGAAACATTATATGATATCCTCAGTGACAGTTTTGCGCAACATTCCTATCTTCCCGTCTCATATCCTCTTATTGTATGATGGGCAATAAAACTCATCAACAATTGTCTCTTCTCTTTCCTTAGATAGCATTTTTTTCTATTTAATTTTTATACATTTTTTTCTATCTTATATTATCTTTTATACATTGAGCTTTTCGTCTTCTTCATAAATCGCACTCGTTAGAGTATAACACCCTAATTGTATTTTGGGACGGGATTCCGATCTTACTAGCACAAAGGTTCAAAATTCACCGTAGGACAACGATATGTGCCATCGGATTTTTTATTTTTAATTAATCTATGTTTAATAATTGATAAGATGATTTAATCTATTTCTATTATAATCTCTTATCATTGCTCTAACACAGGTTACTTGAGGATGTAAGAAGACATCATCAGAATTCGTACCAATAAACAACAAAAAGGAAGGAGATATGCTGGCAAAAGGGTCTTTAAGGGTCAAAAGAATTAAAGAGGAGGAGACTAAATTATAATCACAAGTAACAATTGGAAGTTAATGGTGAACTCATACTTTCTACTCTAACAAATCAACCCATCACAATCCTAAGACGATGCAGTAGACACTATTCCATCGCCAAATCGATCAGAGCGCGCAAAGATTGATCGACTTTCCTGCAATACCACAGCGCGATGGCGTAGCACCAATCGACACTATCTACTATTTGCTAGCTTCTGAGATGCTGAAGGATGTAAGAAGACATCACTAGAATTCATACCGATAAACAACACAAAGGAAGAAGATACGCTGGCAAAAGGGTCTTTAAAGGTCAAGAGAATTAAAGAGGATGAAGTTATTGAATCGACTCATCGCGATCCTAAGACCCTATCCATCACCAAATCGATCAGAGCGAGCAAGGGATGAGCGACTTGCCTGCAACACCACAGCGCGATGGCGTAGCACCAGATCTGGTGGTTCACTATCACCGCCTAGCAACCGGCGGCACTGCGGCCCGCACCCACCGAGGGGTCTGCGAATGGTGTCGGCCTCGAGGTTGAGCGGCGAGGCGGCAGCCCCATGAGGACGCCGAGGTGATCATACATCGGGCGTCGAAGGGCTGGGAGCGAGGAATGGTTGTCGATCGAGAGACGGCCGTTGGAGTCGCGATCGAGGTCAGAAAGAGAGGGTATGAAGACGCTTTGAAGCCGGTAGAGAAGCGTTTGGGTATTCGTTTGCGGGACGGAACTCGAACGCGCCAAAAGACACAACGCAAAGCGCTCAGTTGAAAGTGACAAAAAATTACTCCTTCCTCGCTGCGTCGACTCTCCCCGCAAACGTACCTCTCACACAGCTTGTTGTGGGACCCCCCAAAACAGAACTACATCAAAGCCTTTACCTGCTTCAAGTAATCTTCCTATGATAAGACAAATATAAAGAAAAGGAAGATATGTAATGCACAAATCCTATCAATACATACTACGATTAATTTGATCTGCACAACCACAAAGCGAGAATAATTGAAGGACTATTGGCAGAAGATCATCTTCAAAAGGACAAACACCAAATGGGATTTGTACAGAGGATTTGCATTCAGCACAAAGAGGAAAATTTTAAAGACAAAAGAGATAGACAACCTGACTTCGGACGATGAGGACAAGACAAGATTGGATGTGCCTCGCCACAAATTAACCCAACTCACATCCATCCAGAATTGATCGAGTTAAGTTCCACAGGAGCTTTCGAAAAGCTTCTTGCTGATCAAAAATTGAGGAGATTATAAGCTACAAGACAATTAAGCTCAACAGGAGAAGTCTGATGATCTGAAGACCTCCTTTGTTGTGATGGAAACTGTGAGCAGCACTAGCACTGGACTCGGCTGATGTCGAGTTGGAGGAGGGAGCCAACGATGTGCCATTCAGAACTGTACCGTTCTTCCCACCACTGCATCGAGGAAGAAGATTACATAAACAAAGATTAAGTTAATCGTAGTATCTGAAGCAGAGTTTGAGCTACAACCAGCAACTTAAGTAACATTCAACATGCTTTCAAAACTTGAAAATGATCTGTCTGTTAAGGAACATATAGATCATTTGAAGGAAACAGTACTATGGAATCCTTTTAAGGAACATTACTGCCATACATAACACTCCCTTTGGATTTGCAAGAATTTTTAGATTCCTCAATGTCCTTGGTGAACAAGGAATCTCATTCTTGGAAAGGAAGAGAACCTCTAAATTATCAGATTTGACTATTTTATAAATATACATATTTGAATGCTTTATTAGGGAAAGGGAAGGCTTCAAAACTAAATGAAAAATTTTCGAGATCCGACAATAAAAAAAAATATAAAAATGTCGACACAAGACTTACATAGTTCGACAATCCTTACGATTAATTACAAGTACCAAACACCCTTTGGTTTATCCTGACTCAAATAAATCTTCTTATATATCCTCTCACATATTCTTCGTCGAAACCTAAAAATAAACATGATAATTATAAAATAACCAAAGCCTAATTTTTTTTATTGTTTTTTCTGGAGTCTTTCATTCTAGAATTCCTTGGCAACGCTCCCACCATATATTTGTTGTTTCTTAAAGGCTCAAAAGTCAAAAGATGTATTATGGCATGCATAGTTTAACTATGCCAATTATCTTGATTACGGCTTCTGATTCTTGTAGTGGTTGCCGTTGTATGCCAAGTATCTTGAATAAACTGTGAAATCACATCACAAATTGATTTGATGGATCTAATTGACAACAACAACTAGGATACATCTTATTGCATGAAAACAGCAAAAGTGTCCTTGCCAAAACAACTTCGTTAACGACAAATTCAATAATTTAATGTGCGATGCGGTTAAATGACTCCTCCTTGGACTATTAGAGGTATAATCTCAGACTTCATTAACTATTATCTGCAGATATTTATGAATTAATTTTTCTCGATCAGTTGACTAGAAAATGTGATTTATGTAACTAAGGTATGTGACGGCAAAGACCCATCTCAGCCATCGACCGTAATTATCATATCAACTACTTGAAAAATCTCTAATGCAAAAGGAATTACGAAATGAAATCCTAAACACAGAGGCAAACTCAAAAAGAAGATCACATACCTCCCAGAGAATAAGCAAGATTCATGACCTGCACAAAAAAAGAAAAAAAAAAACCACAAGAGAGATTATTCCGTGTAACCGGAACTAAGAGTCATAAATATCAAGACCAGATTGAGCTTTCACAAGTTTGTTTGCGAGGACAAAAACATAAAGGCATAATAACTCTTTTAGAAATGGTAGCATGCTAACATTTATTTTCTAACCACATACCCAAAGTACATGACAGTCTAACATGATGTACGACGATCACTAGTTAATATTATAGCCTCATGATTTACCTAAAGGAGCATTCTATCTTGCAGGATTTTGAGATGTCCAAAGGATGAGAATTCTATTTTTCTATAGTTTCACTCATTATATATTAGAATTTAAATGTCATCCATCAAACTGCAGCTCATTCAGGAAAGCCAGTCTCAATTCGTTAGGAAGTGCATCAAATGATAGTAATTGCAGCTTACTTGGATCTGTAGTCGTAATAGCTGCAACCCCACTAAAGTAGCAAGTCCCAGAAGCCATTCCCATCCCGTGGTAGTACTCGTTGAATGCGTACGAGGCATGCGACTCGACCGTATCAGGATCATAGCATGGCTTCCCCTGCATCAAAGCAGAGCAATCCACCTTCCCCGGCCCGCACGCCCAATCAAGTCCAGCCTGCAGCATCTTGGTGTCTGCCCCCTCCCTTGCGACGCAAAATGTCTGGTTCGTGGTGTCGTTCGCCAGCAGCGTCCCGGACCCTGTCAGGTGCAGCGTGTACGCTGGCACGCCATTGACGTCGAACAACCCCCAGAACTTCTCCGACGTCGCCCCCGGACGGAGGTCCTCGTCGTAGAGTTCGTAGATGTAGGTGGGTACCGGAACCCCCGGGTGCTTGGGCGTGCCGGTGTTGTTGAGCACGTGGCGGATGAGGTTGCTGTTGTAGGTGGCCGCGTTGTCGGCGGTGGCATCCGGCTCCGTCGTCGGGTCGCCCTTGTGCGGCCACCCTGACTCCAGCACGACGACCGGGACATTGGTGACGTTGAGGTAGGCCATGGCGAAGTAGGCGGCGTCGACGACCGCATCGAACACGTTGGTGTAGTGTAGGAGGGTGTTGGCGTCGACCGCCTCCTTGTTCGGGGGGAGCGGGCGGAAGAGGGCGTAGTCCAAGGGGATGATGCCGTTGGACTGCAAGTAGTCGTAGTACGGGTACACGTTGAGCATGAGGTAGGAGCCGGAGGACTGGAGGAACTTGAGCATGGGGACAATGACCGGCTCGAAGGTGCGGTTGAAGAAGGCCTGCGAGGGCGGGAAGGAGTCGAGGATGACGGAGGAGGCGTGCGGGGTGGAGACCTTGATGAGGCCATCAAGGTTGGCGGCGACGAGGGCGGAGTGGATGTAGCGGAGGGCAGGGACGAGTAGGGTGGCAGCATTAGGGAGGGCGGTGAGGACCTCCGACCCTACGGCGATGGCGGTGATGTTGACGGCGGGAACGTGCGCGACGACGTTGCGGGCCACCCAGTTGGCGGCGGTGGCGTTGGACTGGCCGACGGCGAGCAGCTGCTCGTTGGGGACGGAGACGGTGACGCGGATCCCGGTGTTCGCGAGCGCCGCGAGCATGGCCGGGTCGGCGTCGTAGAGCCGGACGTGGTCGATCTTCTGCGTCTTCAGCAGCGCCGCCACCTGCGTCGGCGACGGCATGTCCGACAGCGCCGTGCCGACATTCACACCGATGTACGGCCCTGCCGTTAGAAGCGCAAGTTAGCGAGATCCGCACCAAACGCTAAAGTGCGCAAATACGGAATAAAGATTTAAAATATAGAGTTACTATCGGTGGTGTCAGCTTAACGTGGTCCGACAAAACACAAGCGGCAAAGACAGCTGTGAAGCAACGTGAGCGGGTGAGGTACGGGGTCCAGGACGAAGAAGAACGCAGAAAACCAAAGAAAATATCTCAGCCGTCGGCTGAGTACCGATAAAATTCGTGCCGCAGGATCTGACGGTGGATACAGTATCCGCACATGAGTCGGCCCCCACCGTCGATTCGTCCATAAAAATAAATAACGGAACAAATATGCGGCGCATATAAAAGAAATACAACAATAATGGCATCCCAACGACCGTAGCTCAGTAGTTCAATCAGGAATTGAAGATTTAGATCACAACCGTCAATTTAAACTCTAGTGGTCGGACAGGGCGGGATCCGACGGTACTCCGTAACGAATACTTTCGCATATCTTCCGAGCGAAAAAGCACTCTGCGTAGGTGAGCGCGAACGGAGAGCACAGCGAGGAACCTCAATAATGTCCTGTGGGTCCCGCACCGTGTGTCCAATCCGGCGTGGGGCACCGCGTGCGGTGGCAGTTGGAAAGCTTAACTCGTGTACATCTAAAGCAAGCTAAGCTCGTTGGAACTCGCACGTACGATCGCAATAGGTTTCCCAATTTGAGGAAAAGAAAAAGGATTATTTCAAAAATTAAATATAGATAGCTTAAAAAAGAAAAACCCCAATAAAACATAAATATAACTATTAACTATCCGCCGTAGTCGGTGATCGGAGAGCGTCGAAGCAACAAAAATCACCGGATGACGAACTCGTCGAGCCAAAAGCGACGGAGCGAAAGAGAAGCCATCGACATTGATACTAGAATGGATCTCACCTTCGTCGGCGGAGACCACCGAGACGGCCAGGAGGAGGAGGAGGAGGAGAGGCAGCGTCATCGGTTTCCCCTTCTTTCCCCTAATCGCAGGCAGCCGATGAATCTCTAGGGAGGAGCAACGGCAAACCCTTGTTTTCACTCACCGAGGAACGCCGAGCTGAGGGAGCAGAGGATGGCGATGTGTGGGGTGGGGGGAGAGAACATAGGAAAGGTGATGCTTTTTATACAAGTGGGGAGGAGAGGACTGAGGGTAGGGAGGTTTGTCATCGCTCTCTAATCGATCATGCGCCGTTGGCAGGGGATCTGACGCTGGAGAACGATTCGGGCGATGTTTTGGAATCGTTGGGGCCCGTTTCGTGCATCAGAGTGGGGTGAGGTAGCATCAACGGTCATGTTTCGGCGATGGGTCGGTGGGGGCCGCGGGTGGCGGTTCTCGTCTTTGGCTCTTGTGGTTTAATTTGAAGGCGCAGGATTTGGGTTCGTGCCGGTTTGGTATCTGTTCCGGGACAGAGTGGGGTGTGTCGGAGGACACGAGCCCATCAGTGGAACGATGCCGGCACGAATCACGAGGCCTCGGTCTTCGTGACCTCAGTCCTGCCCCCTCGCCCTGTGCAAAGAAAATTAATGCCCATTCGCATCATTTGGCCCGGTCAGCCACTCCCTCGCCGTTTTACCCGATGACGTGGTACCCGCGTGAAGCACGGGTCCCACGGAGGATAAGCCACGTGAGGAACACGAAAACGGATGTTTCCTGTCGCGACTCAAGCAGTGTCGGCACACGGCAACATCGGCAGCCGAAACTTAAGTCGTGGTTTTTCGATCGCGACTTTAAGCTTAGGTTAAACCCACCTCTTACAAATTTGAAATAAAATTATGAAAAATATATAAATACGCACATATATATATCTTTACAAAGTTTGCATATGATATGCACGAAATAATATGTCTGTGCAAAAGAGATGGTCAAGAACAGTAGGAAATGTCACAGGTAACATTATATGTTTGTCACACCATTATGTACACAACATTAACCTAACACTCTGCTGCTTGTCCTCTTACATCCTGTCCTCCGAACCCTGTCGCCTTCTTGTCTCATCCACCACAGGCATGAATCTGGTTCGTCTCTGCACCAACATCAACCGGGGATGACAATCTTAAAGCGATCATAAGATTTGGACATCAAAAGCGTAGGAACAACATACGTCGAAGGGCATTGTGGTTGGGAAGAACCCCATCCATCCTTATCCACCCCATCAATTGACGGGTCGTTAATTACTATGTTACCAAAATGTCAATTCCCTCATTGTCTGTGTATTTATGTTGCAGATATTGTATTTCTCATTACGACTAATTAATTTAATAGCTAATAAAGCAATATATAGTTAATAAGGAAAAGGTTAGGAGTCAAATAGAGACTGAGAGTAATCGTGAGATCATGGTGAGTTGACGCGGGAAAGGGATCACGTGCGAGTCACGGGAACTCACCTCCTTCCTTGCGGGCGGTGACTTCTCCGCCAAATAAAGCTCCACGATCCGCTCCGCCGCCTCCGTTCCGTCGGCGCTCTCCTGGAGCAGCTTCGCCACGCGAGCCGCGGGCAGCCGCACCCGGACTCGCACCGCCCCGCCGCCCTCCGCCGTCTCCACGGCGAGCGAAGCGGAGCGCCGCGGCCGAGAGAGCCGCAGGTTCTCCAGCCGGTCGGTGGCGCTGCCACGCGCGGCGGCCACGACGGAGGAGGCTCTTCGCAGCCCGCGGCGGTCCAGCGGTCGGGGGAGCTCCGCCAGAAAGTAGAGCTTCCCCGGTTCGAGGGGTTGGGTGGAGTCGAGCGGCGTGGCGCGGACGCCGAGCCGCTTGACCTCGTCGGCCTCCAGGACGGAGTGGCCCGGGTGGTCCCGGAGCACGTCGCCGGCTGCGGCCGGGGGCTTAAGCCGGATGACGGCGCCGTCCAACGTCATCACCTTGGCCGTCTTCTTCTTTTTCTCCTTGGCGCACACTGCGTTGCCCATGCCTTGCTCCTCTCTACTCCCCAAGACCTTCACTTGCTGGTGGATAGAAAGAAGGGGGTTTTTGCACCAGGATGGCCTCTAGAAATGGGTTTTGGATCGAAGCTTTGACGTCGGGAATGATGATAGATCAAATTCCAATTAAATGATTCATCTCTATCCTGTTGCATGCGTTCTGATGGCCTCTTTCACGGTGGCAGCGGGAGCCAATGTTGACATAGCACTCCAAAACCCAACCCAACACGCCTGATGGCTGATACCATCCTCACATACTGTCTCTTTCTGCGTGCGGTCATCAAAGGGAAGGATGGCCGGGAATGGTTACGTTGGATTAACCTTTGAGGAGTTACGACACTGCACGTAAGGTTAAGAGTGGCTGAAGCAATCAGCAAAGGTGGCAGTAGTATATGAGAAGAAGAACGGGGAGACAGCAACCCTTGCAGAAAACTCATCGCAGTCTCTGATCCTGGAGACTTTCTTTTCTCACGGACATTCCATCGAACAACAGTTGGGCCGTGTCGTTCTCCAGAAGATGCCGCCCCAAACTTGGGTTCACACATGTACATGTGACTTCATCTTTATCCTCCATCGGAGAGGGAAGGGAGCAGACTGCCATGGCGACAAGTCGGCGAACGAGAGCGGTGTGATTGCCGTCTGGGTTCTCTGACACCGTGTTGCGCTCGTGAGATCGGAAGGAACATCCGTGCCGGTCTTCTTCGGTCGAAGTAGGAACATTTAATGCTGCTCAATAGTTTTCTTATGAGAGGATCAGATCATTCTACATTACCCAAAAAGGAAAAGGGGGGAATTAGTAGTGCATTGACTGGAGGCTCAATCTGATATAGATTAACAAAGATGGAGATGTAATACTACGTAATATATTATAGATTAACAAATAAATAATCAAGGCATATGTCAAACTTATATGTTGACCGAGACGAAACAATTGTAGCAAAAATAGTTGAAAAAAGAAAAAGTGTGTATGGCATATACAAAAAAAATCAATTGAATTACATGTTTTCTCTCCACTTTGGATATATTATAATTAAATATGAATATATAAAACAGATATCTTTTGAAGCATATCTAATCACGTGCAAACTAAAATGCTGGAGGCTGAGCAGCTTGCGACACAAGATACGAGTTGCGCGCGTTCGCACGCAAGTGGAAATAGTGGGATCGTCAAAGTCCACGGGGCCCGCGTTTACCGTCTTCTCCTCGGTGGACTCCACCTATGCGAGCGTCGACGGACCGGTCAAACTTTAATGGGAGATGGCCGAAGAGAACGTCAGGTTTGGCGATCCGACGCGCCCACGCATTAGTTCGCAGGCGGAGGAGGAGGAGGATGATGATGAAGACGAGGGAGGGGAGGAGAACGGCTTTACAGCTGCCCAGCGGCCAATCACATCAACACGGATGCGAGCAATAAATGGAGGCTTCCGGCATCTGCCATGGCCGATGGACTAAGCAACGTCTCTGTTTCACGAGAGCGACGGCGGTGTAGTACTCTCATATTCTTCCTCCAACCGTCCCAACCGCCAACTCCCCCATGGACCGACGCACACACCGTCGCCATTGTATTAATGGTGCGACGTAGAGCGAGGAGAGGGTAGGGGGAGACTAGCTGGGCCGAGACACCGTCAGACGCCATGGCCTGGTTGTTGAGCAGCTCGTCCGGCACCTCTCATCATTTACTCCACCCCATCTAACCTCATTCATTGCCAGCCCCTCCTCCTCTCTTTAAATCCTCTCCTTCTCCCCTCCTCCAGGTGCAGCACCCGGAGCACTACGAGCCAAGCAGGCAGAAGAGGTGGAATGTGTCTCTGAAGCCACGAGAGAGAGTGGAAGATGCCGAGGGCGCCATTGCCGGAGTTTTCGAGCTCGGTGAGGCTCAAGTATGTTAAGCTGGGATATCAGCACCTGGTCGACAACTTCGTCACCTTCCTGTCGATCCCGGTGATGGTGGCCGTCGGGTTGGAGTTGGTCCGCCGGGGGCCGCAGGAGATCGTGGGGTTGTGGCGTGCGTTGGAGCTGGACGTGATCCATATCCTCTGCTCCGTCTTCGTGATCATCTTCGTCGCGACGGTGTACTTCATGTCGCGGCCGCGGCCGGTGTACTTGGTGGAGTACGCTTGCTTCAAGCCGCCGAGCAACTGCCGCGTGCCCTTCTCCACGTTCATGGAGCACACGCGGCTCATCAACTCGGACGAGAAGAGCGTGCAGTTCCAGATGCGGATACTGGAGCGGTCGGGGCTGGGGGAGGAGACCTGCCTGCCGCCGGCCAACCACTACATACCCCCGCACCCCACCATGGAAGCTTCCCGCGCGGAGGCGCAGCTGGTGATCTTCTCCGCCATCGACGACCTCATCCGGAAGACGGGGCTGAAGCCCAAGGACATCGACATCCTGGTGGTCAACTGCAGCCTCTTCTCGCCGACGCCGTCGCTGTCGGCGATGATCATCAACAAGTACAAGCTCCGCAGCAACATCCGAAGCTTCAACCTGTCCGGCATGGGGTGCAGCGCGGGGCTCATCTCGATCGACCTGGCCCGGGACCTGCTTCAGGTGCACCCCGGCTCCAACGCCCTCGTCATCTCCACCGAGATCATCACCCCCAACTTCTACGCCGGGAACCAGCGAGCGATGCTCCTGCCCAACTGCCTCTTCCGCATGGGCGCCGCGGCGATCCTGCTGTCCAACCGCCGGCGCGACGCCGGCCGAGCCAAGTACCGGCTCGTCCACGTGGTGCGCACCCACAAGGGGGCCGACGACCGCGCCTATCGTTGCGTGTACGAGGAGGAGGACGCGGAGGGCCACACGGGCATATCCCTCTCCAAGGACCTGATGGCCATCGCCGGGGAGGCGCTCAAGTCGAACATCACCACCATCGGCCCGCTGGTGCTCCCCATGTCGGAGCAGCTCCTCTTCTTCCTCACGCTGGTGGCGCGGAAGTTGATAAACCCCAAGAGGAAGCCCTACATCCCCGACTTCAAGAAGGCATTCGAGCACTTGTGCATCCACGCCGGGGGGCGAGCGGTGATCGACGAGCTGCAGAAGAACCTGGAGCTGTCGGCGGAGCACGTGGAGGCGTCGCGCATGACGCTGCACCGCTTCGGCAACACCTCCAGCAGCTCCCTCTGGTACGAGCTCAACTACATCGAGTCCAAGGGGCGGATGCGGCGCGGCGACCGGGTGTGGCAGATCGGCTTCGGCAGCGGGTTCAAGTGCAACAGCGCGGTGTGGAAGTGCATGCGCACCGTGAAGACCCCGATCGACGGCCCCTGGTCCGAATGCATCCACCGCTACCCCGTCCACATCCCCGAGGTCGTCAAGCTCTGAGCTCAGTCCCTCTTCATCCGGTTAATCGCTGTCGCAATGCATCCTACAGATTCATCACCAACACCATATCACCATGCATATACGTAGAAGCTGTTCATGGTGCGATCTGCCTTCCTCGTAGCCCGAAGGATACCGTAAACAGAACACATTATAGCTCGGCTTGATTCGATTGGCTTCTGTTGGTTCTTCCTGTCCTTTCCATGAGTCAAGCGGAACCGCCCACTATATATATATATATATATATATATATATATATATATATCACGAAGGATCGAATCACGTGTAAGTTTGAACAGACCACAGAGGTAGGGTTTCAGCGCATATGTATGTCTGTCTTATACCTAATTGGTACTGTTGGTGTAAACAACTTTATGCCGTGATCTCGGGGCCGACGCGGCTTGGTTGGGGTCCGAATGACGGGGATCTGGTACGGCGCACCTAGAGATCGTCCAGGTGGCCGATTACGGTGGTCCGATCGGGTCGTTGCGTCGAGAGGAAGGCTTTTCCACAGCGTTGGGAAGAAGCAACCCCGTCCTTGCACCTGCACACAGGTCGGGTCGGAAGCGCGGCCCGACCCCTCCGACGATCAAGTTAGCAGATGTGGAGGGGGTTCCAGATGAAGAAGTCTTTTTTCCTTTTCTTCCTCCTCGTTTAGAACTCGGGGGTATTTATAGGTAAGTTTAGGGTTACCTGATGTGTCTGCCTGCAGGAGCAGGATCGTACCTCTGATGGCGTCTGACATTGTCGTTGGCGTTGCGTGGAGAATCGAACTGTGGCAGGGAATGGGCGTGCCTCGGTCGTCGTTTTCCTTTGCCTCGGCCAAGCATGTTGGGTCAGACAACAATAAAGTCGTTGTCTGAGAGCGGGTGACGTTAGCGCACATCGTGTCAACATTATTGCCTTC